TCCTCCTTTACTTTCCTGTTTGGAGATGTTCTCACCCCTCATTCCTGCCTCACAGGTAAACCTCTCTGGGCTGGCATCCTTCGCTGTAGCTGCCCCAGCAGTACAGTGTTCTATTAGAATAGAAGACTACTGTCTTCAGTTTTAATGACTTTGCCCTTGAAAGATGGCCTGTAGCATTCATGGCACAAGAAATTTCATACTAAATATCTTTATAAACTGTATTCAGATTCCTCAAATAATATACATTTTGTATATTTCACATATATGTTTTAAAGTTGATGAAACAATAAAATCTTGACTGATATTATTTAAATTCATGTTTATCTTATCCTCTACCCATATTACCTCATTTTCATAATCTAAGCAACCTTGGAACATGATGTGAAAATGCCAGTGTATTAAAGAACGGAGCCTCTTAAAACTCTACTTCACATGCCATGCCCTTTGATAAGGGTGATAAAACAAAATTTGCTTTAGCCTCTTTTCTGAACGAGGTTCGTGCTCAGTGCCCAGCTTGTCTCATTATATTTATGACCCATGGCATTACTACATTTATAATAATACTAAATTATTAGCTTCCATCACGCATTAGCAGCTGTCTCCCACTCACACAGGAACCAATTCCTACTTGCCCAATAGAAGGCATTATGTTTTGGAACTACCACATTCAAAATCCCTGAATTATAAATAGATGAAAAGATCTGAAAAACATATAATGAATTTGCCTCCAAACTATACATAAAACTTAGGAGACTTCTAACTTTTCTTCATCGCCATTTGACTGATCGATCATTAAAGGTTATCTGTTACTCAGCTACTAATCACATTTACCCTATGAGCTAAACTCCTGAACATTGCAGTGCTCCACAAGTGCCTGTGGCATTGTTTACCTTATACTGTTGGAAAACCATAGATTGAACAGTGGATATTCAATGTGGATTCTTTCTTAGCATGAATTTCTAATTACAGGAATTGCATACCATAGAATACTTCAATTCTGCCATTGTTTCTTTCTATAGCACCATAAAAAAACACCAAGAAGGATTTTTCCTTCAAGAAGTTAAATTATGGGAGGGAAAGTATAAAGGCTCTTAAAGAGAAATACTGATAGAGGACATTCCTACATTACTTCATTATATGTTTTCTGATAAAAGCATGACAACCAACTCTGGAACAAATCATGTGAGAATTACATAATGGAAAAAATAAAGGCTCATTGATATTGAAATGTAACTTCAGGTGACATTTTATGTACTGCTGGTTGGAAAACTCGTGTTTTAGTTCATAGCTTCACTTTTCCTGATGATAAATAATGATGATGAAATAATAATGTGAATAACACAAAGCCAGCACACCTGCTCATCAAATCATTACAAAAGGAAAGTCATAGTAAATCTGCAAAGCAAAAAGCTGGAAGAAGCAGCAGTAGTTGAGACATGTCACAAATACAGTAGATCAAGTACGCTGCCAACTCAAGTCTAGTTTTCAGTGACAGATCCCTAAGCTATCTTGATTTGGGGTTCACATCTCAACACTCTGTGGCCTTACTCCTCGCTGCTGTGCGTTCCTGCAGGTACCTCAGAGGGACCTGCACATCCAGGATGGTGCAAGATGTGTCTGTGCTGAAGTATATTCATGAGCTGCCACTGAAAGTTCAGTTTTCTCTTTTTTCTTAGCCTCTCTGTGCTTGTAAATTCTGTTTATATTAAAATATCATAAGCCAGAGCATTTGTTTGTTTCTCAAGGAACGCACATGGCTTGATGTTTCTGGTACTGTTGGTTCCTGCTTCTAAGAAAGTCTCCCACTGAGATTTTGGAGACAGCAGACAGCGCATATAAAACTGCCAACTCATCTGCTTTTATGCCTCATTAACTGACTACTGCTCTTCTCTCCACTTGCCCTGGGTTTCTATACACCTAGCAGCAGCATGACACACACACTGCAGGACAGTAACTCCATGCTCTACACCAGGCAATGGCTCCAATGAATCTGCCAGACAGAGGGCAGTGCCTGTGCATACATGTACAATCAATAGGTATACAGAAGTTAGGCTAAGCAGGATTATTGCGGTATAAAGACAATAAATGAAAAATACTCACCAATGTTGTAGGCTTGCAATAAACTCCACAAGGAGCAATCTCTAGAAAGTAACCCTTCCTCACTGGCAGTCAGCACTTAAATGGGTCTAGGAGAGGTGCAGTCAGGTTCCTTCTGGTAGCACAGGTGAATTGCCTTCACTGTGCTCCTGCAGCTGACTCATTTCTTGCCTCAGGTGGTCAATCAGTCAGAGGTTCAGGCCGTGATCAACAGCTCCCATACAATATAGATTGCCTTGGGTTGGAAGGGACTTTAAGGACCATCTAGTTGCACCCTCCTGCTGTGTGCAAACCACCACCATCGCATGCACCAGCAATTCAGAACATGTTGGGCCATGACACCTGCATTTTGTAGCAACTGCCTACATGTTTCTTACAGGAAAATCTCAGACAGAAATATGGCTCTCAGCACTTTCTTCTCATGAAAAACTTGTAGCTGTGACTCCAAGTTACTCAGCAGTTACTAGATTTCTCTCGAAAGGAACTGAGTATTACTAAGCCCAGTGGTAGTCCACGCTGCTGGAACTTGAGTGGCATCTCCTTTACTGGATGAGATTGCTCAGGATTTATTATAATTAGGGGGAAAAGTTCAAAACTGGTGTGCTAAGATGACAACACTGCTGTGCTGATGTCATCTGTCCGCTGGCATCATGGTGAGGGTGTATAAATAGTCAGAAAACACAGTAGCAAACAAACTGCTTTGGAACAGTAACAGAACAACATACTAAATAAACAAAACTGCGCTGGGAGAAACTACTCCCCTGCAAAGCATTCAGGGAGAAACTGAATCTATGAAGAACTAAGGAAAACACAAATCCCCAGAACTGGCAGTGCTCTTTGTTATGCCCTGGACAGACTCTATTTTAATGCATGCAAAGCTCTCTCTCTTCCTGAAAGACTCTCCTCGAAACCCATCTGTTCCGTGGTGCATCCTACTTAACAAAGCCTCCCACCATGCTGTCTCAGCATTGTTCCGCTCAGTGCTGTCCTCTCCACTTTCAGCTTGTGCTCCCAACTGCACTCTCTTCCGGAGGGAAAACCTCCTATTTATGTCTCACAGTTCTCCCATTGTACTGCCGTGTTTGCTTACACCACTGCAACAGCCTGCCTGGAGAGGAGAGGCTCAGTAAGCAGGAAAAGAAACGCACTTTATTGCTGGAGCTCAGCATCCAGACGTGCTGTGTGTGCAGCGATAGGCTCACACAACACTTGCTGTCCCCTGGCAGTGTGCAGTGCACGCAGCCGCCATTTCGCATCGCTGCCGTGAGTGTGGTTGTGCAAAGCCCTGGCTCTGAGCAGGCTAGTGCCAACCTGCAGGCACGACTCCACCTCTGTTAGCACTGACGTTACGTGGCTGGAACACCGTAATAGGTCCAGAAATCACCACGGTGTGAGATGAAAATGAGGAAGGACCTTTCCTGTTCACCGAGGCCTTTCTGGTTAAAACAGTGGGGTCACTGGCAGGGACATTGCCCCCCCACCAACTACAGTTCTCCCTGGTACTGTCTACTCTGATGGTATTTTTAATTCTTATTTCTCTTGTTAGAGTAATGATGCAGAAATGAGGCTATGCATGAGACTTCAGCATTTGCCGGAAGGCCTCAGGAGGTCTCAGAGCTGCTGCGAACCCTTTGAGGCTGGAAGAGCTCTGCAGTTACACTCTGCCCTGCATGATGAGACTTGGCAAATGGCTGGGACTCATCAGCATAAAGTGAGTGATTAATTAAGTGGCCTGCACTGCAAGCCCATACATCAGAACTGCAGAAGCAAGGCTTTAACCACATCCATGCCTGGATGCACACACAGACCTTGGGAGCATGGCAGCACTGTGAGGAACGACAGAAATTACCTCAGTGTACAGGCCTGCTGTGCTGGTTTCAGATGGGACTGAGGTGATCTTCACAGTGCATGGAATGATGCTTTGTTTTGGCTTTAGGAGAAAAGCAGCACTGATAACACACCCATGTTTTAGCTGTTACTGAGCAGTGCTGCACAGAGCCAAGGATTTCAGTGTTCCAGCTTCTGGTACTGCCCTGCAGTTGGTGCTATGAGCGACTACTTTGTGCATGCCTTATTTTGTAAATATACATACAAGAGCTGCTCCAAAAGTAATGCCTTACATTTTTCAATGTTGGCTCACGACGTCAGGGGCAGATGTTGGTGGTGTGGCGGTAGGGGTTGAACCTTCCTGCCAATATCCTGTTACATTTTGTTGCCGTGTGACAGCTGGCAGCAGAGGGACAGATTGACAGATTGCTGTCTGACATAGAAATGCATACGAAGCAAAGGCGTGGAATTGAATTCTTCCATGAGGAAAAAATGGTACCCACTGATATTAATCAACTCTTGCAGAACTCTTATGGAAACCAAGCAGCGGGTGTGAGCACAGTGAGGCGGTGGTGGTGTGTTACAGCGGTGGTAACAGAGACAATGGTCGCCTCTGCAGGAGCACAGCATGCAGGCTCCTGTTCACTGCTGGTGAAAATGCACAGTTAACGATGGTGACTGTGTTGAAAAAATAGTGTTCTGTGGCCGAGAATTTGCTTTATCAAGTAGTGTTATTGTGCTCGTTGTATCTGTCAAAGTCTCCATGGAAATAAATAGGAGTCATTACTTTTGGAGCGACCTACGTGTGTGTACGTGTGTACACACGTATAATCATCATAACCATTATCCTGGGGGGAAACTGCAGCCACCTGAGGCAGGGCTCTGCCTCACGACATCCCAGATGTGGACGCACCACCCGCAGAGACATTTTCCCCTCCAACCCAGGCTGCCCCACCGCCCCGACAGCTCAGTGCTGAGTGCAGTGCCTCACACCGCCCGGCGGGGGGCGCCCTCCCCATCACAGCGAAGGCGCCTAGTGGGCTGCTGTCCCTTTAAGGAGGAGGGCGCCCGCTGTCGGAGGCCGGGTTGTTCGCTCTGTCAGGTTTGCGCGCCCGCCCGCCCGGCCGTGCCGCGATGTTCCGCCTGCTGCGGCCGGGCCCGCTGCGCCCGCCCGCACTGCCCCGCAGCTTTCTGCACGCCGCTGCCTTCCGCCCCACGGGCAGCGAGCAGCGCTTCGGTCGCCCTCTTCTCTTGCCACCGCCGCCGTGCCGCGTAGCGCTGCGCGCCGCCGCCGGCAGCCCCGCTAAGGTAGGGGGCTGGGCTCGCGGCCGGAGGAGCCGCCCGCCCGGGGCGAGGCGCTGGCTGTGCGCGCTCCGCGTGCGGCTGCCCGGTCGCTCGGTGCCGCTCCGTTCCGGCGGAGCGCTGAGCTTTGTTTGGGCTTCGGCAGCAGCCGGGAATCGCCGGCGTGTGAGCGCGGAGCGCCGCGTTGCGATGGACGGACAGCGAGCGCTGTTCTCTCGTCCTTTCCTATAATGAAACTGAAGGGTGGGAATGGCTTCAGAAATAGTGCTGTATCAGGGCTGGAAATAATTGGGTTGTCTAATTGTGAATGCTTGCTTTTGCTAAATGGGCTTGCTTTTATATATATATAAGTGAAAATTGTTTCCTCGCTTGCTTTTAGCATTAAATCTGGTTGAAGCAGTGAAGGGCTTGGAGGTGTTTCTGTTTTTGTTTTTTTTTCCTGCTGGACATTTTTCAGCTTTCAGTTTCTGTTCAAACATCGTTTTGGTTGATGAGCCAAAGCCTAGCAACAGAATTCTAATATTATTCCTTATGTTAGAATGAACAAGGTTATGCTCTGTAGTTACTTAATACGTGTTTATGGATCTGTGTGGTTTTTCTCAAGATGAGATAAAAAGTAATGCGAATTACAATGGAGGGGAAGGCAAACATAATCTGTTTGCTTTGGGTGAGGGGAGGGCGTGATTAAAATCGCTGACTGAAGTGGGTTTGTCTCACCATGAGCACTGTGAGACTGCACTGTGTATTTTGTGCCCTGGTGACAATCCTGCCAAGTGCAGGCATGAACCAAAAGCTGTGGATATGGACAGAAATCTCTTTGGCATCTCAGCCTCATCTCCCCAAAACGGTGTGGGTAGCTTTGGCACTCTTTTGTATCACATGGAATGCTGGGACCATAACAACTCCTTTTTTTATGATGGAACTTGTGTTGTGTAAGAACATGCACCAAGGTCAGTACATCTGTTTAATGTGAATAGTTGGAAAATGAGAGCTTGTATGATGCTACGGGCATCAGCAATCCCAGTGTAAAAAAGCAGAGCAGTGTTGCTCTTTCCCAAAGCTTTCCAAGCAACACAACACATGCCAATTGTTTCGTTCTTTCAAATCAGTTTGGCTGATTAGAATATTATCTGGTACTTAGTCCTAATTAATACTTTTGCTTTTGTGTTCTGTTTTTTTTTTAGGATGCGGGATCCCCTGAAAAGGCAGCCACAGATCTCAGTGGTGAAAACAAGAAACTCAACAAATCTCAGCAGCTGAAACAAGTTTTCAAACAGTATGGTGCTGTAGGAGTTTCGTTCCATGTTGGAATTTCATTAATATCTTTAGGAATCTTCTACGTGGCTGTGTCAAGGTGTGGTTTGTACAGTGTCTGTAGGCTGTAATGGTTTGGACAAGGGAAATGTCTGACCATTGTGCTTTTTCTAAAGAGACGTGCTCTAAGTTTGTCTGATTTATACAGGAATCCTCTGCTTTCTGTGTATAAATGGATCTGTAAGTTGGTTTAAGCTCCAGTCAGGCATGAGAGAAGATAGATGTGGTGGACTGATGAAAACAGTAGAGACTGCACCAAAGTAACTGGCCAAACTAGATGAAAGAATTTGCTTTCCTGCAGAGGTATCTTTTGTTCTCAAACAGTAGTGTGGCATGTAGAGATAGAGCCGTATGAAAGTGCTGGAGCTTAGAGATAAATCTCTTTTTCTGGGAGCTGAACACAGTTGAAACTGCAGAAGGCAACAGCCACTAAAACAGAGGATTAGACTATCCAGTATTTTCTGTTTCAACCTTACAGAAGAGGTGTAGGATACTGTGTAGATGATTTCAGGAAGAAGTGCAGCAGCTTTAGATGTGTCTGTTTTGTGAGGAGGAACTGATGATTTCCTCCAGGAAGGTGGTGCATGGGGCTGAGCATTCTCTGTGCTGCAGTTGTGTGACCAATAAACGAAGAAGATATTTGACTTCGTAGGGATCCTGGCAATTAAAACCAAAATTTGTATCTGAAAATAACGTATATGTTATTGTTACAGAAATGAATCGGGCTGCTAGTCCTGGAAGAATTCATTTATTTATCAAAACTTAGAAATTCCAGAGTTGGAAGTTTACTGTGTTAAATTCCCTGAGTAAATAGCACTTCATGTTCTTCAGTGTGCCATTTTAAAATAAACTGAGAAGTCTTGTTTTCTTTTTCCCCCAGCGGTGTGGATATGACTCCAGTTCTCTTCAAGCTTGGTTTCAGTGAATCATCATTGCAATCTAAAATGGCTGCTGGTACAAGTACGTTTGTGTTGGCATACGCCATTCACAAGCTGTTTGCCCCGGTACGGATCAGCATCACTGTGGTTTCTGTGCCATTTGTTGTCCGATACTGCCGGAAGATTGGTTTCTTCAAACCTCCTGCTCCAAAGCCATGATAATTTCTTATTGTCTATTATTATTAGTTAAATGTTTAATATTCATGTCGCTCTTCAGATACTCCTTTGAATTCATGCTAATGCTGCCCTTCTCTTGCATTTCTCTGGCTTATCCTTTCAGGTAGATGTGGCAGTGAAAAGTGCTGTCCTCGTCTTCCCCTTTATAAAAAGCTCTTGAAACAGAGTCTGGTTTCCACTCCCACTGTACATGTAAATGCTTTTGACAATGTGCAGTCTCTTACAGAATTGTACAGACGTACAATTTGGGATCTTTATTTTCTAGATTTTTGGATCATTAATGTTTTTCATGCCAAAATGCAGTTGCAGTTTATTACTGTGCAGTTGGGAAATAGAATAAGATTCCTTTCCTAGTAGTAGAATACTGTTTCTTCCATGGACCATGTAAATAGTTCTATTGGTAAGTAGATGTACTGAGGTCTGAGGTGCTATGAGAGTGTTTCTTTTGTTGCAGAAGGCATATGTTATGATCCCACTCCTGCAATCCAACACACATGCCAAACTAACTTTAATGAGAGTACCTGTATGCTTAATTATTGCACAGTTATAATTGTGGCTGAAATTATGGCTCTGAAATTATGGCTCCTTTGTGGTGCTTCCATATCTCAAGATTTTGTTGCTTGAAACTATGCTTTTCTGACCTTCCTAAGGTCTTTTCTCTTCTCCTTTCAGTTTTAAATGCTATGGACTCATACTGAGTCTAGTGAAATCATCATAACCAGAATTACCTCCTATGTGAATGTATTCCAAAGATAAAGTGAGAGGCAAAGTAACTGTGGTGTTGAGACCTAGCTTTGTTACTGGGAACATCTTGTTGGTCTGTGTTGGGGTTTTGTTTTTGTTTTTTAAGCTAGCTGTTAACATGGGAGCTTTCTGCTCCTGTGGATGAATCTCTGATCCTCACCTGAAGTCCAGACATAACAGTTCAGAACTTCTCAAAAGCAATTCTTGTGCTTGTCTGGTAGACTGTTGTGTACCAACTCAAGGTGTAATTCACTTCCTTATTTGGGCAGAATTCCTATTAAATTGTATTTGCATATAACCACTTTTCAGTTTACCTAAAAACTGGATTTCAAATCTAGGGATTCAGCTTAACATCCTGTGCTAAACCTGGGTTTCAGACTTAGGACTGTGCTTCTGTGAGATGACTGAAGCCACATCTGAGTCTTTTGGATCTGTTCTCCCTTCCTCATCTGTTCTTTTGACACTGTCTGCCTCTGTGTTTGTGCTTATCACTTATGCCATGGTGGCTCTGACACAGTTCTGTTCATACAGGAATCTGAACTAAAATGGCAGAAAACTACTCTGACCATCAAAGTATTTTTTTCTTTTGCCAAGTTCTCTTTTTGAAAAGAAATACTGCTCAAGAGAAGAGGAAAGAATGAGGCACGTCTTTGCCATGAGCAGGTTATTAACACTGCTCAGACATAACATTAAATTGCATCCTTAGTTAATCAGTGTGAATATTGTATTTGGTACTGGGACGGAAGCTTATTGCTGGCTATCCAAGAGCTAAAAACCTGCAGTGTCTACACAGCAAAGGAAGGGATACTGTGCAGCCACCACCTCTTTTGTTTTCTGATCTACTACAGCCTGGGGCTGGATAGAGATAACTTTACTCTGCCTGCTTCTTTGAAAATTAAAGTCTTCCTTTGGCTCTTTTTGCTTCATTTTCCAAGAAACATGTTCTTTCCTACACGTTTTCTGGCTGTTCAGGTCATCGTTCTGTTATCCAAGGGTAACAAAAAGGATTCCATAATAATCAAATAATGACAGCCTTGTTTTGTTTGATCAGTGATTTCTAGCATGTAGGTCTTGTCCTGAAGGTGATAAAAGGAGTCAGACTTTTCCTTCCCTGTTCCTAGAGCGTTTCTATAAAACAAGACTCATTTAAAGCAAGTGTACCTGGAAGTTATTAGAGGTACAAGCAGCATAGATTTTGTTGTGGTAATAGAAAAACCCTTCATTTAAATTGTGACCTGTAAGATAAAGATGGTTGTATAAACTACTGGCACTTTTAGATGAGTTTTTGCTAAATATTTTACAGTAATTTGAGAATATATTTTGAATCCTCGAATCCTTGCTTGTAAAAGATCTTTTTTAAATAGTTTGTAAAATAGTAAAAGACCTTCCATGGTTCCTGACAATGAAAAAAATAAATTGCTTTCTTGTAGCATTTGCTTGAAGTGTTTTTCTGGAAAATACTTGGTTTGCTGATTGTCTTGTTTAATTGGAGGAATGAGAAAGCACTTAATGACAAATTACAAGCAAGTTTTACTGTGTTTTTAATGATTTTTAATTAATTTTTTTTAAAAAACAACTATCCTTTTCAAAAATGCAGAAAACCTTGTGATTAAAACAATGATACTGGAACAAAGCATCTTAATGCTTTATGTCCAAGTTTGTAGCTATGAAGCCTAGGTTCTAATCTATTAATTCTGCTTCTGATATTTTGTAAATGGGGGAAAAAAGTTTAGAGCCTAGGCTCTAAACACCAGAGAATTGGAAATATGGATTTTAAGTATGCTTTGGTTTTTGTTCAGTTTCTGATGTGTATGTGTGTATAGACACGTATATATACATATGTATATGCATCTCCTCCTTGGTAATGACTTTCCAGATCTTTCTCTCTGAAGTACTTTCAAACATTACTTATGACTATTACACTTCAACTGCAAAGGAAGAAGCAGATTTAGTTTTTAACTGTGAAACTCTTGTAAGGTATCTATTAACATTTTTGGTACTTACCTGAAGAATAACAGCTACATCTTCTTACACAACACCAGCACTTAGAGCTGGAACTTATTTTATATCAATTTACTTTTGGACAGAGCTAGTGAACTTAGTCTGTGACCACAGATGAGCAGTCAAGATGTTCTCCAGTAGTCTGACAGTAATGACAAGTGGTTGGAGGCAGCCAACACACATATTACGTATTGTAAGGAACCTTACCCTGCTTTACAATATATAAGCAATCTTTATTTAGAAACTTGAGTGCTCACATTTAAGACAAACTAGAAACAAAATGCACACATCATTCATTTTTAGGACACAAATGCATTCACCTCAGTTTCAGATTACACCACAGGTATGATACCCTTTAGCAGCCCAGTGAGTTCATAGGCAGGTATCTCTGGGATATTGCACTGTTCAGTAAGATAGAACCACCACTGTCTCTTGTTATTGGAACAATGAGCTATAATTATGACAGACCATATCATAAAGGCCTTGAACAGACCTTGAATACTTTCATCAATAGAGCTGGCCCACATGTAGTTATTTTTCAAGTATATTAAGTATTACACAACACCCAGCTGGAAGTCAAATAGATTTACGTTGCAATTCAAGATCAGTTCAAGATAGTAACCAACCCAAAGACTTTGTGTTCTTAATTGCCACTGGATTCCAAGACCTGCTCCTCCTTATTGTATTACAGTAGTCACAGTACAAATCTCCTTGTTAGTCCAATGAGATTACCCTTGTTAAGACTATGTTCTGGATGGGGCAGCAACATCACTTTCTATCGTTGGGCAGCTTCGTAGAGTTTGCTGTAATCCAGGGATGAACAAGTACATCCTTCAAGGGCAGCCGATGGAATGGGTTATGTTTCAGAAGCTTAGAAATTAAATCCCTTGCACCTTCTGTTACAAATAATGGATACTTGAATTCCACCTAAGAAAAGAAAACAAGACAAAAGATGATGCAATATTCCTTGGCACTAATCAAAACTGGAGAGCAACAGGGTTCTGCCCCCAACGTGCAGAGAGCAAAGAAAACTGTCACAGGCTGTGTACCTTGTACCTAGTAAGTAATTTCATCACAATCCTGAATAAAACTGAAGGTTCTCACTGCTTGCTAAAGTCCAGCTAGCTGCTTTTCTGTGTGCTCCCAACACAAAACCACTTTGCTGGAACCTCTCAAGTTTACAGAACACTAGAAATCTAGAAACATAATTTAAGTTTTTCCTAATACCTTGAATGATTAATATTTTATATACCAGAAACATGAAAGTAGTGAAGGAGATAGTGAAGAAGAATAGCTGCTATATAAAAATGTAGGTGTTCAGATGCAGGTAGAAACAGGACAGAATGAAGGAGCCAGGAAAGCTATCTTATTCTTTATTGTAATTTTACTGGAGTGACTTCAGGATAGCTTTAAGGATCTAGTTTTGTGTGCATCTCATTATGTCTTTCCTTTCCTCAAGAAGAATATTAACCGTCGAGACAAGAAGTGAAACCGAAATTCACCTAGTTGAAGTTATGGCACATACCCTGGAAATAGCTCTGTAGGTTTCTTGATATGTTTCTGCTTCAAAAGGTGGTTTTCCTACAAGGAATTCATAGCACAGAACCCCCAAGCTCCAAATATCCACCTTTTCATCATGTGTTCTTCCCTCAATCATTTCAGGAGGCAAGTAGTCAAGTGTCCCACAGAGAGTTGATCTCCTGAAGAAAAGAACGGAGTACAGTGTATCATTTACCCTTTATGGTAGTTAAGATCTGTTTTAACTGCTAGTATTAGCATCTTGATTCAAGTGCTCTTATCTGTATCTCAGTGTAACCTGCCCCAGATAACTCAGCATCACTGGAATTTCATCCGTCACTTTTCTAGCTTTGCTTTAAAGTACTATAGTCACTACAGGCAGTCTTACCCTTCCTTTTCCTCTCTCCCACTGGCTTACAAGTCAGTGCAACTTTCTTTGTCAGGTACAATTCAGACTAAGGAAACATTCCAATTATAGTGCTATTGTGAGCTATTTGGATAGAAGTTCTGATCTTCATCTCAGGGACCACCATAACCCTAGAACAGTGCACTAACACTCTTGTTTCAGGTTCAGCAAGTTTTGAAATAAACAAATGGAGAAGCAGGATAACGTTCTCTCTATGCTACATCAATCAACTATTAAGACCTTGACAGCAGTGGTCCAATTATTAAACACTCCCCCCCCCCTCCCAGTATTTCAACAAGATGACATTTACCTCCATTCCAAAACTGTAAGTTTGACAAGAAAGCTAAAATTTTCATTACAGAATATTTCACTTTATAAGGTATATACTGCATTCTTACCTAGAGGATGGAGCATGCACAGACCATCCGAAGTCTGCAATTTTTAATTCTCCATTTGAACCAAGCAGCAGGTTTTCTGGCTTGATGTCCCGGTGAATCACACTCTTTGAATGACAGTATGATAGGGCATCTGCTAGTTCTGTAATGTACTGCAATTAGAAAGAAAACACAACTATCGGGTATGAGGACACTGACACTCAAGCTTTACTAGCACAGTATAGTATTCCCTAGGCATGATTAGCAGTTTGGATAGAAAAATTGTTCCTCTCAAGCAACAGGTGTTGCTTGAAGTGACCACACAAATTGCAGTGGGCAATGCTGAACATTATTTATTAACACTGCAGTAGTTCTCCCAGCGTATTCCTAAATAGGTTACAAATGCATAAGCAAACTAGCATCTATTGGTTGGTTTCATGCAACTGAAAATGACTTTCTTGAAGGGCTAGCTTTTTACTTCAGGTATGCTACACAGCAGCAAGCAACATACAAGCAGTTAGAACAACCTACAGTTGCAGTTCTTTGTTCATCGAATTTGGTAAGCTTCTGTAGTTCCTTGAAGACTTCTCCACGAGGTGCATACTCTAGAATAAGGTAGACTCTTGTAACATCATGGAAATAGCCATATAGCCTGAGAATGTTGGGATGCCTGCAAGAAAATAGAAATGTCTTCCTGAACAAGGTATGTGTACAACTAATTTTAATTATACACATAGGACCTGTAATTTTACATTAACGCCACATAGAATAGCACAGTTCCAACTGCCACGTCAGTGTCTATGAGAGCTTCAGAACAGACAGAGGGTATTTATCCTAGAAGTATCAGACTCGCTAGAAGCAAAAACCCAGCCAAGAATTCAGCTCATTTTATTTTCTCATACATAGCTTTCTACAACACACAGAAGAATAGATTGCCATTCAACGTGCAAACCTCTACACTCTGTATCTCTGAACTTAAATACTTCAAATATTTTCTGTGAAACAACTAATTCCATTCAGCAAGTTGGGCTTATTTTACAGGAAACAGAATACCAGGAACAAGCCTAAACTGAGAAATTGCAGTCATCCACTTGTAAGAACTGGCCAGGTGCTTGGCTTTTGTTTGGGTTCATTTTTCCTTTTGGTCCATGGGGTGGTGGGGCAGGGGCAGAATGGCAAGAAGCAGTTTCAAGTTGTTATGTATTACAGGATTGCTTTTCTTCAAGTGAGTTTACTTTGTTTTTTAAATTGAGCACAAACTAAGCAAAGGTTAACTGTTCACATTACCTGAGATGAGACTGTATTTCAACTTCTCTTCGTAGTTGATGTTCTACACCAGCATCCTCAAGCTGAGCTTTAAACAGCACCTTTAGTGCAAGAATAAATTTACTCTGCTTTTCACGTGCCAAGTATACATTTCCAAATTTTCCTTTCCCCAGAGGACGACCAATTTCAAAATCATCAAGAGACCACTGTCTTCTGCAAAAGGAGATAGAATGTTACAAAAGTAATGCTTGTGTGTGTGTCAGCAGTTCCAGTTAAATACATATTTAGTGATCTCAGCTAGGTTTTAGTCTTTAATGGCACACCACCAAGAGGACAAAACGTGCACTGAGACTTCTCTAAAGACAATCTTGAAAGCTTCTCTTGCTTCTAAAGCATATGCACAGAGGCACAGCTACTTATTACAGCAAAACCAAAACCATATAACAAACTGAGTACATTTCAATATACTTGATACAGATATATTCTAGACTGTCAGAACTGTTCCAAAGCAGCCATACTACTGCATCCAAAGTCAGACTCAAGCCTCCTGCACACATGAAGAACACATTTTTTCCAAGTGAACATCATGTGATTACAGCAGTGATTATCAGAATTCTCTCACAGGAAAAGCTGCTCCTTGTTAAGCCAAAAGCTTTTTTTCAGATTACAGTAATTTATTGTTTCTGAAGATTACTAAAGCAAAATAACCCTTCCCAGAGTTTCATTAATAAACATTGTCTCTATGAAGTGAGAAGGCTACTGTTCTTAGCGATCCAGAGGCTCAAGTAGACAGCAGCTTGGCTGCAACTTAGTTGTAGCATGAAGTGCTAGACATTGAAAGAATAACTAACTTAGCTATAAGTTTTTTTAGGCACACAACTTACTTTTTAGTCTCTTCCTTTTTCTTTTTAGTAGACTCCTCATTTTTCTGTTTAGAGATGCT